TGTTCCCTACATGGAGGAAAGATAAGTATGAGCCCGAAGACATCACGAAGCTCCAGTACTGTTATGAGGAAGAGGTCATTGCCAACAAAGTGACAGCTGAAGAAGAGGAGCTCTGCCAGGAGACTGAGCTTGGTGAGGGCGACGTGGATGCAGTTCCTTTTGGCTTGGGAAGCATCGGCCCTGCCTCCGACTCTGACATCTCCGACATAGAGTTGAACGAGGATGGCGAAGTCACGCTCTCCGGCAAGCCCAAGAGTAAGTCCACAGCTGGGCTCACCGAGGAGATGCCGAGTGAGGACATGCTTCATGCGTCACATGTAACGCTCACATCCCACACTTTTATATGAGTCCTGGGCAAGAATCACGCATGTTCCGATTTCATGTGCACATGTGTGCTTTGCAGGACATCATGGAAGCCCGCGAGCTTCTTTCCCAGATCCTGAAAACGCAAAAAATGCTTCGGGGACTGATCACGGAGCTTGGCAAGTGCAAGGCCCACGGGGCGCAGCAGTGGAAGCCTTACGCAATCCTGCCATGCAACTGAATAGTTATACTACTGCATGCTTAAAATAGATTATTCAGTCACCAACCTAAGGGCTGCAAATCGATTGGAGAAGAAGGTCGATGAGCTGGACAAACTCCATGACAGTATTGCAGATTTGAAAGCCTACCACCACGCGCACAAGTCCTTGAGTCCAGGGAGCCTTGCATGACCATAAAACGATGACCCCGCATCATATTTGCATGTGTGACTGCGCCACAACCTAGGAAGAACAAGAAGTTGCAGGATGTTTGTCGCCAAGTGGAGGAGCTGCCATCAACCTAGATTTTGCTAAGTGCATGGCATGCGCATGTCCATGGTGCTATAGATATCTTCGGCGCAAAGGTGCTCGCGATGTGAGATGGAGAAGGACAAGCTGAAGAAGTCCCTTATCTTAATCTGAAGCTCACGAGTGCCCCCTGAGTGCTGACACGGAGTTGGTGCGTTGCATGCATGTTACTAATTAAGGACAATCCTGAACGGCAAGCAGGTGGCTGATTCAAGTTCACAGGGACCCCATGGCAAGCCCAAGTCAAAGCCTGCCAAGACTAAGAAGCCAAGCAAGAAGTGAATGGGTCAGTGGGCCATCACACCGGGCGCTCGGGTGACAGGCTGTGTGCTGCCTCATCTCGCATTTTCAAGGGGTTGAGCTTGTGATCGAAGCAGTTCATGATGAACCCTGTGCACCCTGCACAAATTCAAGGGGGCTAGCTTGTCCACAGTGTGCTTTGAACGTATAACTTGCAACACGTGGCAGCGCTACCTCATCAAAAGCTTTCACTGCATTCTGTGGACCTAGCGCTAGATCAAGGATCCTCTTGAAGGGGCTGTGTGCATGACCCATAGCCCAACTTGCCGGATGCAAAAGTTCGTGATGTAGTTGGTGCAAGTGCGATCGTGTTTGTGGTGCTCCATGCATGTATAACTATTACAGACATAAAGTTTAGCATCTTGCCCGCGCCTTATCGTGGAGGTACTGGATGCTCTCTGGGCGATGAGAATGAAGATCACCAACCTGGTCCGGTGGCTGTGGCTTTGGCTACAGCTGTGACAGAAGGTGCTACTTGGATGCGCTTGTAACCCAACACATGAAACATGTTCATTCATCGCATGTATAACCTGAGCCCCCTGAAAATATTCAAGTGTAACATATTAAGGTGTCCCAAGAGGTTACAACGATGATTGCAGCAGCTTTTGGGGCAGAAGTGCAAGACACATTCGGGCAACATGCGGTCTCGAAGATGCCATCCGGCGGGGTGATTAAGCGACTTGGCAAGGCCAAGATGACAGGTCATGCAGCTATGTGTCGGGATATCCTCGCTAAAGCGGGCTTGTCAGCAAACATTGCAATGACTGCTAAGAAGTTCCTTGCACATAATCATCATGTCATTTGCCCGGCGGACTATGTTTCAGCATTGGCTGCAACTGGAAAGCTTCAGAACCTTACGGGCGACCAGCCATTGCAACCAACATTATTGCGATTCTGGGAACTCTTTGCAGCTTACCGCCCTGGCCATCCTGCGCTAGCAAATGGTCTGGAAGCGTGCGCTTTTTCTGTTCCCATACTTTTATTTGGTGATGAGGGACGGGCTCTCAAGAAGCAAGCGGCCATGGTGCTAGGTTGGGAGCCTATGATAGGATATGGGTGCCTCAGTCATTGCGACGATGACCCTTCGCCTTTGCATGGTCACATGCTGAACAGGACAGGGTCTACGTACAAGACACGTGTGCTCTACACGATTAGGTACAAAAGATCATACGGGAAAAAAAGTCAAGTGCTACTGGAGCTGATTCAGAGCTGGGCCACTGACCATGCAGCAGCAATGGCAGGAATCGATGTCATGTACGAGGGCGCCAAGATCTCTCTGAAGCTGGTTCCCATGGGCCTCAAATCAGACTGGGCGGCTATGGCAAAGCTTGGTCAACTGGGACGTTCATTTTATCATGATAGTACCCCATTTGGCAAAGGCATCTGCCATTTATGCTTGGGGAATACCGAGGCATGCCATGAGTGGACAACTGAAACATGGAAAACCACAATGGGTGACAGCTACTTTCCCCCGTGGTCGGTGGAGCCACATCTCGTGCAATGGCTATGTGCAGATTATGAGAATGACTGGGAGAAGGCAGCTTTCTTTCGACTGGATCTCTTTCATATTTGCCACAAAGGCACCATGGCCGAGCTTGCTGGGTCAGCGCTGGCGACCATGAAGCATGTAATGAAAGCATGTTCGTTTTTTCTTGCCTACAGCCTTATGACAATTCATAATCCAGCACATCCTGTGAAACATCTGCTTTTGCTCTATGATATAAGGTCACGATCCTGGACACAAATTTGTTTGCTACTGCGGGATCCTTTGAGACGAAGATGGAAGGTATCTTCATGCTCCTGAAGAAGTTCGCTAAGGATGAACACTTGTCGTTGCATATGAGCGCGTTGACAAGAACCCTGCTTCGCTTTCCTGATGCCAACAGCTTTCCGGCGGGGCCACTTCAATTACTTAGCATGGAGGTTGTGTGATTCTGTTTGAGATTTTTCCTCTAAAGAATGTTTATATGTAAATTTGCACTCTACAATTCCCCTGAACTGAGGGCATGGTTCAAAGGAGCTGATACCACAGTGGTCTTGAAATTCCTGGTGCAGTTCCTTCAAGACAATGGACCTTACAATGATGAGTATCTGCAATGCTTGCTGCGATGCTGTCAGTCTGCGAACAAATTTCTTTCACTCCTTTATCATGCTGAGCTTTGGTTGCCGCGACGCACTGCTAGAATGGTGGTCAAGGCTGGGCATGAGTACATCGCATTGTACAAAAACTTGGCGAGGATGGCGTATGAAAGGAGACTCACGAGGTATCTTCTAACCCCCAAATTGCATCTCTTGATGCACTCTGTGCTTATCCTGGAGCAGCAGATTGCTGCGAATGTGCATATTCTCAATCCTTTGAGTGATTCGTGCCAAATGTGCGAAGACTTCATAAATAAAGTCTCCACTTTGGGTCGCAATGTTTCCCCAAGGAAGTTCTGTGAGGCCACGCTGAAGCAATATATGCTGTGCGTGCACAAGCATTGGTGAGCAATGCCTGGAAAATGTAGTCCTGATTAGGTGCATATCATGAACATGTGCATGTCATGAACACGTGCTGCTGCAACTTTACATGCATGATGGTAAACCCTCACCCCTCATACTCGGCGACTTTTCATGTTAGTTGCCAGTTGCCAATAGAATGTGGCAACTAGGTTTTCCAGGTATATGGATCGCTAGAGACGCCGAAGCCCTTGTCCTTTTACCCGAGCCACGAAGCAGAATTGAAAACTATAAGCCCGACACCCTGAACCGGGTCATAACCCCCTTCGTAAGCCCTAATTGTTTCGCCAGATGGGCACGTGGTAGCTACAGACAGCATAGAGACCGGAACTTGGTTTGCAACAACACTTTCCTACTCCCTAAACTCTATAAGCCCGAGACTGAGGATCAGTGAAAAGTTACGTGCGTCACGGTGTAATGTTGTGCTTCTGTCTTGCGCTTGTCTGCAGGTTTCCCCTGGATTCCCCTGGTCGAGATGTGAAAAACTCCAATGGTGCTCCCTAAGCCTGCAAAGACCTCAACCATACCACCTACACCCCAAACCTTGAACCCTAAACCCCAAACCCTAAACCCCAAATGCTAAGCCCCTAAACCCTAAACCGCACATGACATCTCCTCAAGCTGGAGGCTGCCGAGGAGGCGACGGGTACATGGGCTGCGCCCACAGCTCCCCAGGTGCAAAAGATCCAACGCGGTGTACGGTGTAGGGCTGTTCTGAGGATTTTTCTGGTTTAGGATTCAGTGTTTAGGTTCTGGGGCTCAGGGTTTAGGAGTGTTAGAGTTCAGGGTTCAGGGGTTTTAGGGTTTAGATCTAAGTCCGAGAGATGCCTCCTAGTATCCCCAAATTCCGGGTCTCCTGATTGTCAGGAGTACCTTTTGAAAGGGACCCTCAAAGGTATTGGGGCTTGGCGAAACCCTAAACCCTAAGCACCCTAAACACTAAAGCTTTAGGGACGCCCCCCACTTGCAGGTTGATAAGTGGCTATCTAACGGAGATACCGTAAGCAGAAGCAGAACCCAAAGAAAAGTTTAGGGTTAAGGGTTGAAGGACGAACGCTTAAACCCTAAATTCCAAAGCCCTCACGAACCTCTTGGTTGGTCCCAGGTCTCAGGGTTAAGGAGTCTTGGGCAGCAGGGTTTGAACTTGGCGGGCTCGGTTAATACCAGGGTCGTGGTAATCCCAACCTTACAAATCGAGACCCTAGTAGTTATCAACACTTCGTACTTGTAATCTGGGGGGGGCGTGCAAAGTCGTCTGGCTATTCCAATTCAGGGCTTAAGATTTTGGAGCCCGTGATTCAGGGGTTCCGGGGTTTCAAGGTTCTCTACAGAACATAGAGCTTCAAAGAAGGCCTTTTTTGAGGTTCATTGCGTTTCGTTGCAGATGAAGACAAGCGGCATGCAGGCCGAAGTGAGTTGGGCAAGCCTGTGCATGCTGGAGGTGTTTTGGCTTTGGGCTAGGATCAGGCTTCAGGGATTGTAAAGTTTGGTTTAGAGGCCAGGGCTCAGAGTGTCAAGGTTGGGCTCAGTGTTCAGGATTTGGACAGTGTGGGGCATAGAGATTGGGGCTAGTCAGGGTGCAAGTATTAGGGGTTACCGTGTTCGTGGTTTAGGGGTCATGTCACCCATATTGCCCCAATGGGGTTTTGGGAATTAGGGCTCGGCAGGTCATCGAGATACCGCACCTCCCGCTGTCTTGCCTCAATCAGGCTCGCCTTGCATGAAGATTCATGGGTGGATTTAGGGTTCAGGGTTTAGGGTTGTCACTATATACGTAGGATGGGAACCCCGCATACGATTCTTGGAGTGTGAAAATTCGCGTCTTTTTTCTGCGACGACGCCAGTGATTTGTGGGCATTCAAGTGCGCAACGGTGTCCGATGATGACGGCTAAACCTGCTTCTGACCTAGAGGGGAGCTTACCAATCATCATGCCTCCCGCGTAACCGCTAAGGGGACCTCTACGCAATCACTGTGTAAGCCCAATGTAGGGTACCTAAGCCCTAAGCGCTAACCACCCCATAATCCTAAACCCACCTCGGAGTCTGCAGACTTGAAGGCATCATAGCTTGCAGTATCCCTGCAGTCCTTAGACCTCATGAGACGTTAGTAATAATCATGTATTCTTAATTGCAATAGAAAGAATCATAACAATAGTAGGACTAGTAGACAAAGGGGCTTAGGCTTTAGGCTTACAGCACACATGCCCCCTAAACCCTAAACCCCCAAACGCCCTGTCGCTCGCGAAAGGCAAATATGGAAGTGCGCACTCGTCGAGATGAGGAGCGCTGTTTGCCCAACAGCTTCTGACTCACTGAGATTATAGTCCCTCTTAAATTTGATAGAATATGCGTTATGTGGGGAGCTTATTGTGATATACCCAAAGCCATGTTCTATCTACTTAAGGAGGACTAGAACCTAAGACATGAACTTAGGCTCCCAGGTCCTAAGTGTCAAGTACTAAATAGCCCAAAATCCTGGTGGTTGATCAACAGTGTGGGGTTTTGTGCTGTCGCTCCCAACCACCCAGCGTTGTCAGATACTTAGTTCAGAGACCCTACACACTGAAAAGTCTATCCTTCTAACCCCAAGTTCTAAGCTCTCCATAGGGTGAACCCTGGACCCTTCACCCTAAATTTAGTACCTTGCTCACGACCCTCAAGCCAAAGCCCCACAACCAAATCTCCAACTCCTCCAAGGACGATGTGGAATACTCGTCTTCAAGCGGCTCTTCAAGTTCATCTGGCTCAAGTTTAAAATGGGTAGTTCTCAAAACTATGGGCCGCTTTTGGTTATAGATTATATTATGGCACCTAATATTTAGGAGTACCAGAATGGGACCCTAATTGTGGGAACTACTTAAATGTTCCTGCTTGACCTAGACCTCCCAACCGCCAGAACAACAGCTCATGTACTCGTCCTTTTGAGGCTAAACCCCTAAACCCTAAACCCTATTCTTTAGGGCTTCGGCTCTCTCCGCAACTTTGTAGGAGGGGTGTAGGGTTTCTTTAGCATGCAGAGCTTGAGGCTTCAGTGGCTAGGGTTTAGGGTCTAGGGTTTAGGGCAGTGGCTTAAGCTTCTTCAGACATGATATGGGGTTTCCCAAAATGAAGAGTGCCTTTTTGGGGGTCCCCATAATTAAGGACTATAGTACTTTGGGATCTTTATTGGGATCCCTGTGTCTAGGGAAACCGCCACATAGGTTAATAGTCTTTACCATGAAAACCTGAGGATTAGCATGCTCGGTGCTGCACGCAAGCATGGAACTGAATTTTAAGATCATTCAGTCTAGGCAATTCGAAGTAAGACATTAAACTTACACTTTCAGGCCTCAACCCAACTGGAGTTCCGAATCTCTACGTAAGCCCCTGAGCCCTCATTCCCTAGATCCAAGCCTGGCAATTCTTAAGATTGAAGTTCTCAAGCAAAACCTGGGGTCTTGTTGAACAACATTTTACATGTTCCTGTATACCTGGGCCCAACATCGATTTAGCATTATCATTTTTGATTATTTTATTAGTAGTTCAACAAAACTTAAAGCGAGCTCACCCGACCTTACCTAAATGTTGATTTGATATAGGGACTCGTACTAAAATGGCCTCAAATTGGGACTTGAAAATATTCTAAATTACCCGGACAAGACCCCAGAACCTTAATACGAATCCTTCGCAAGCCCTGTGTAAAACTGCTGACAAAGCCCTGTGGGAAGCCCGCTCCCAGAAACCTTGTGGCGTCCATAAGTACAGTAACGTAGTAACAGAGGCTGAGGGTTTAGGTTAGTAGAGTAACATATCGTAATATAGTAATAGAGTAACGGAGTAACAGAGTAATGTAGGAATAGAACAATATAGCAATACAGTAATAGAGTGATAGAGTAATATGGGAATTAGGGCTAAAGGGCCTTCTATGCAAGGATCCAATGGAAGGATTCGCCAACAAGGGTTTTGCAGCAGAGGCAACAGTGGCTGGTGTAGCAAAGAAGGACCACTATCTTTCCATAGCATTTGGGGGCTTCTGACAGTAGGAATTACAGGAACCTTTAAACCTTTCAGTCCCAAAGCGGATGCCTCTCATCGCCTTTCCTATGCCTTGACCCAAAACCTTACCCACAGCCCAACACAACCCGAGGCGGCCCTAAGCCCTGAACCCCCATCCTAAACCCCAAGCTTGCATGAATGTATTCGCCCTAAACCCCAAACCCATATGAACCATAAACCCTCTGTGCCTCAAGCATTCCCACCTACAATGTACAAGTAACCATTTGGCAGCACTATGATTGAATCAGAGCTCCTCACACCCTTGGACTCATGGGGCGTAGCTTGGACTAATGGGAGCGATCCTTGGCGAAGCTTGGACTAGCGGGGAGATGATTTATAGGACATAACGATTCGGATTAGCTCACGCCTACTTGAAGTTACAGTACTCTTCGGAGTA